CAGCCAAACATATTTCTTACAATTTCTTCAAACAATAACCAAGTGGACATATTGTGATTTTAACTTTTAAGCCTAAGTCAAATAACGTAAACATATCAGCCAAACATATTTCTTACAATTTCTTCAAACAATAACCAAGTGGACATATTGTGATTTTAACTTTTAAGCCTAAGTCAAATAACGTAAAAATATCAGCCAAACATATTTCTTACAATTTCTTCAAACAATAACCAAGTGGACATATTGTGATTTTAACTTTTAAGCCTAAGTCAAATAACCTTAAAATATCTCAGTTAACAAAGCTGCAAAATAATCCTTCACCAACATCAGTGAAAACAATGGGTCCACCATATTTTTTATTTGATATGGTGTAAGTTCTCTAGTAACTCTGTGTCTTTCTTTCAGTAAAAATTGCATGCTCTAAAATATCATAAATGAGACCAGGTTTGAAATATCCTTTCATTTAAGAATGTACAGATCATGCAATGTTTTTTTTTTAATCTCAGTATAGTTCAAGTCAATCACAGCAGTTTTCCACGAGATGTGTCTCATCTCAATATTTCAAACCAAGTTCTGTACTTCACAGGATACATTGTACTCTTGTATATGTATGATTTTTATAGCAACTGACTAGCACCACTCGGTTACTTTGCATGCTTTTTGGATCCTGCAGTCACCATTTATTGAATTAGGGTTACCACAATTTAAGTGATAATGAAAATACAGTAGTAATTGATGGATACAAGCAAAAATATGCTACTATAAGTGTCCATCCACAAAGTACATGCATATACAGTCCATTATAGTAGGCATAAAATGTACAACTACAAAATTACTTTCACTGTTATAACATGGTAGACAAAAAATAATTTTGATAAAAATACAGCAAAATGTTATGTATTATGCATGATTTATATAGCCTATGGTAATTCTTTGTGCTATATTAGAGCACAGTTTTTTCACTGCACTTCAATAAGACTGGTATGTACTCACCAGACTATCAGGTGTGACCACACAGAGTGTCAATACACAAAGTCAAGTTGAGTGTGCGCAAGTGTTGTGAGATCACTCGGGATGTTTTTTTATTGGCTAAAACCTGCCGACATTCCCAACAAAGTTTAACCTTTCAGCTTATTTGTCAGAATCCCCAATAATCATTAAGTTTAAGTAACTGTAACTTTAACAATTTTAACTATTCTAGCTGTTTTATTTAGCAAGATTTGCCTTGTCTGCTGTGTAGCAGTAATGTGTGGAATGGCTACATTCTACAACTGCAGATGCAAGAGTTTCCATGACAACAGATGCGTAAAGTGACTGTACCTCAAAAGAGATGGTACGACAAAATGGTAGTGGAAAATAACTACAAGCCTGGTGATTGGGTATGGTTGTGGTACATGTTTATAACAGTTCTGGCTAGACTGGTCCTTAACTGATCTACTGGCAGCTCAATGATGTAAGTTATGAGTAACAAGAGGCTGCTTGTGAGAAATCAGATGAGGAAGCACCAGTATAGAAGCAGTATATTTGTTTAAATAGTCAGTCCAAATGTTGGCGACAACCTTCTAATCAATATGGCTAGACCAGCATTTAGGACAGTCACTCGACTGAAATATCAATGACTGAAAGGAAGCAGCATTCCTTGCTTTCCAATCTGTTAAGTGAAGTTTCATGATAAGATGTAAGTGTGTGCAGTACCTTATGTGATAACCTCTTCACTATTTTACTGTTAGGGCATTTGATGGGTTTAGAAATGAAAATAGCATAGTGGGCCTTACTTCCAACCCACTGAGTTATATTTGGTAGCAAGACTTTAATCTGACATTTTGCAATAATCAATCGATGTATTATTAATAATCATAAATAATCAATTGATGTATTTAATTCAGTTGTAACAGTGAATTATAGACACTGTGTGGTATCTCTGTACTGGGTTAAGGGACATACATCTGATCTACTGGGAGATGTGTTACTTATCTTAGCATCATGATATTTGAAAATCAATCAGTTGACTTTCTGAGTATGCCATATGGTAGGTGCTCATCCAAATCATTTTGATCAGGGTTCACAAACTTAGCAAGCAATAGCTTGACAATCTCTACTGCCTTTTCAGCCAAACCATCTTTACTATTATCAACACTTAACATAATTATAAAACAACTCACTGTTGAGGTTAGCTCTTTGATCTGTGATTATCTCTCCAGGCACATCAAAATGTGAAAACCATTCTAATGCCAGTATGTCTTTGATGGACTGTACCAATGTGTCAGCTAATGATTAGGCTTTACCCCACTTGATGAAGTAATAAATAACAACCAGCACAAATGAATTATTTCTCAATTATGGGCAGAGGAGACCTATATTCAGAGAAATTCTATCCAGAATTGAACCTACCATCATTGGCCTGAACTTTCCTTGGTACAGTGTTTGAACCATCACTCATTGTCTTTACATTATTGTGGCCAGAATAACCATTTCAGCACAATGATGATAGTTTTCAACCCACTTTCTCGTCTTTTAGTCATTACATTATGCAAAAGCCAAAGAATTTTTTGCCTCTGGAACCACTAGCTGCATCATAGGTTAGCAACTACATTTTGGTGGTTTATAACAATGGTATAATCAATGTTCTCCCCAATTTTTCTTTGTACTGGACAGACTAAAAACACCTCAGAGCACTACCTTTCTGTCCATAGGCAACTTTAGTTTTCTTTAAAAGCTGAACGGCATTTTTTTGGAGCAACTGTTGGCACCTGTACTCCTAGTTTGTTTAGACATGGTATTGTTCAAATTACAGGCCTATGTCTTCTACACAAAACTGTTACTAACTGACTAATTTGTGAATGACCTTTTGTTTTTGATGGGTAGTACTTCCAAGATTGCTGTGTGGTCATGTATGTCTATGCTTTTGAAAGTAGCCAAGAAAAAATCTTACTTTTTAAGTACAAACATTGTTACTTACACGGCCTTAACCTCTGGCCAATAATTGGCATGGTATTAATTTGTAATAATTACACTTCACTTATTTAGTTCACACCATAATAGTTACTGTCCATGCAACTAATGCAAAACTATTGCCTAGACAGTTACTATGTCTGTCATATCCTGGGTGGCCTGATCAGCATTGGATACAGCAGATGTAGTGTGGTTGTCATATTATAACATATTCTTCTTTGCTTTCACTCCATAAGTTATTAAAATGTAATTTTCTCCCATTGACACATGGATGCTTGACCCACTCATGAACAACTGGGTCTTTAGTTAATGACAGATTTCTGCTATATGAGCTCACTAACTGATAAAATTCAGGAAGGTCAGCAGAATCTACTGGTATAAACTAGTAGAGTCTGAGTTGGATCTGACCGTCAACCTGGGAGAGTGCAGCAGTCAGCTACATCTAGTCATAGTGCCTGGTCCAGTACGTTACAAGTACTGGATGGTACATTATACCTTATGTTCCCTCTATACTGTGGACACACATCTAGTCATAGTGCCTGGTCCAGTGAGTTACAAGTACTGGATGGTACATTATACCTTATGTTCCCTCTACACTGTGGACACACATCTAGTCATGGTGCCTGATCCAGGGAGTTACAAGTGCTGGATGGCCCACTATACCTTATGTTCCCTCTATACTGTGGACATACATGGCCATACATCTAGTCATGGTGCCTGATCCAGTGAGGTACAAGTGCTGGATGGCACATTATACCTTATGTTCCCTCTATACTGTGGACATACATGGCCACACATCTAGTCATGGTGCCAGGTCCAGTAAGTTACAAGTACTAGATGGCCCACTATACCTTATGTTCCCTCTACACTGTGGACATACATGGCCACACATCTAGTCATGGTGCCTGGTCCAGTGAGTTACAAGTACTGGATGGCCCACTATACCTTATGTTCCCTCTACACTCCTACATGCCATAACTACAGAGCCACCTAGAAGTAAAGACATTTATCTTTAAAAGCAGCCATAAAAACAAGATTTTATAATGCCAGACTTTCACTAATCCATGTGAAGTAACTAAAGTGTTACTCGAGGTGAAGAGGCTGCAGAGTTTATTTGCTCTAAAGTTCCTTGTGCATTAGTCACTGTCATGAAGATGGACCTTTCTTCTCTAAACTCTGTTCGTCATTTTGTTAAAGAATTTAAGGCGAGTGAGTGGCATTTTGATGATACTGTTGTGTTATAAGTTAAGATAGTCTGATCAATAATCCTAAGTTCAACTATTAAAGTGAGCTAAGAACAAGATGCATATGTGAATAGATAGATGTTAATGGATTAGCTGTTAATTTCAAATAAAATAAGACTAGTCCAATGGTGCAACTACATTTCAAGGAAAGCATGACTTAAAAGAATTCTCCTTATCAGTTAGAAATTTTACAACATAATACATTTCAAGGAAAGATTGGGTTAAAGAAGTCTCTTGATCAATTAGAAATATTTGCAATATAAAACAACATTAAAGGTTTGACAGGAAGACATAATAGAAAACTGTGTATTAGCATGAAGAGAGTAAGTATATGTTTTACAGCAGTACAGATGAAATACAAGTTATATTTGCAAAACATAATCTTTCATGTAGGATTGATTTAATAGATATCAAGGGTGCTTTTTTTTTGTGTGGTACAGCTGTTGTCCCGATCATTACAAACGTACTTTGAAAAGTTGTACTTATTCTAAATAAAGTCTACGAGCCTATTTCTATGATGTTTTTGTTTGATTAGAATATGACAAGCTGGACATACTAATCAACAATGCAGGGGTTGCTCTTGTGCCTTTGACTCGATCTGAAGATGGATATGAACTGCATTTTGCTGTTAATCATCTTGGTAAGCTTCCACATTGAAATAAATGTTACAGTTGTGGAACCTTAGACACCATCTTGTAAATCATATATTTTCTTTTTCTTGTCTAAATCAAAGGTACAGTTGTCTAAATTACACACTTTAAGAGAAAAACTGACTAGTATTCTTTCATTGTACATCAGTCTGACAATAACCCTGTTCAGTTTATCAAATAGATAATGTTCGGTTAGTCTACATCAAAGATCCTCATTTACAAAATAGAAACATTTATGCAAGGTGATCCAAGGATTTTTAAGAAACCAGAAGTTTAAGTTTCAAGAGTTATTTACCCCAAACACTAACTTAATAAATTAAAGTTCAAATTATAATGAAAGTGTGAGAAAATCAGATAAGTTATTGT